CTATATAATACGCATAACATTAGAACACCAATGCCCCAGCACCTGGTCATGTTAAGGCACTCTGCTATTGGAATTCTTGCCATCGCCTCTGTGGCTCTTGCCCAACAACCTGTATGTCAATTCCTAATGACTTCGCCTTGGAATGCTGTTTTAACAAGGCTACCACTACTGTCTTAGGTTTACGCTCAATGTACGTGTCCATTGTACTGGTCTTGAGTGCCAAGGCGCTGATGTCCAACACAGGCGGCGGCATCAGTTGGAGTAAGAAAAAATCAGTATCGTTCGTGCCTATGTTGAACTAATATCTGGCTAATAGCGGGCGGGACAACTTGTGCGGCAGGATCTACCTGCACCAAGTTGAACGACTGTATGTTCTTCGAGTACTGTCAACGAGGTTGATCCTTAACCCTATACCAGATTACTTCCAGTGCTTGCCGGGATCTGCCTCGACAACAAGCAGCCCTACATCCACAACGTCTACCAGTACAACCACAACCTCAAGTTCACCGATCCCTAGCGGCGGCTTACCCTTCCTCGGTGGTGTAAACATAGCTGGCTATGATTTCACTGTTGTAAGCATACTGTCAATAGATCTTGCGGCACACATTGACTCTCATCCAGAAAACAGACGGGTCGTTCACCGGTCGCGGCGTAGATCCTCCGGTCTCACAGTTTTCTCACTTCGCCTCCCAGGGCGTCAATATCTTCCGCATCCGTACGTCCTCTAGTCACATCACCCAGCGCTGATCTTCAATTTCGTTATGCTTCGTTCTAGCTTTTGGTTAGTCCAGGTTTTGATATTAGGTTTCGATACTCAACCATGAATTTCCAGCTTGGCAATTGATGACGCCGACTGTGGGCGGTACCATTGACTCCTCATTCTTCTCGCGCTACGATAATACTGTTCAAGCTGCTCTCAATGCTGTTACGAAACCCTATGTTATCCTAGACTTGGTATGTTCACGTCTTATCGCTTGTCACCATTGTTAAAAGTCCCCCTCCCTCTAGCATAACTATGCGCGCTGGAACGGTGGTATCATCTCTCAGGGCGGACCCACTGATGCCCAGTTCACTAGCCTCTGGTCACAGTTGGCTACGAAATACAAGAGCAACCCCAAAATCATTGTGAGAAGTTTTATATTGATAGGCTGTTTCACGTGTTGAATTTGGCCACATACATAGTTCGGGATAATGAACGAACCTCACGATCTAAATTCAGTATCGACTTGGGCCACTTCTGTTCAAGCAGCAGTGAACGCTATACGTGCTGCCGGAGCGACGTCACAGTACATTCTTATTCCCGGTATGTCGTCGACATTCAACACAAGTGAATGTGGACTGATGTGCTCACAGGCTCGTCCTGGTCAAGCGCACAAGCACTTCCCACCGAAGCTGGGCCAGCACTAGCTCAGATCACTGACCCTGCAGGTGGAACAAGCAAACTCATTTTTGATGGTGAAGCTGAAAAACATCGAGTTTCCAAAGAGAATGTACTCACGCCTACTCAGTCCACAAATATCTTGATTCTGACAACAGTGGAACGCACTCCGATTGTACTACAGTAAGAACTCACATTTTACCTCTTGCAATGTCTTGACCAAAAATGATCTTTAGTCCAACGTCGATGTACTCGCCACTCTTGTTGCGTGGTTGAAGGCCAACGGCAACCGTCAAGCAATCCTCAGTGAAACCGGCGGTGGAAACACACAGTCCTGTTATACCAAGTTCGTCATACTTTTGCTCCGTTGTCGCCGTGCTCTACTCACATTACAAAAGCCTTAAAGCAGAGCTCGCCTATGTGAAGGCCAACTCTGCTAACCTCGCTGGGTTCTCTGTATGGAGTGCTGGATCATTCGACACTACCTATATCTTAACGCTGACTCCAAATGCCGATGGGACAGACCAGCCCTTGTGGATTCAAGCTGGTAAGGATTCTATCTGGTACCTTTCTTACATTGTTTGCTCATGACATGCTGTTAGTGAAACCAAATCTACCTGGAGCGCAATAGATTTGGTATCTATCGCCACCAGATATCTACCGTACACTCAAGATGAGACGCTGTTATTATTCGATGCTCTAGAATAGTAAAAAGAATGATCATGTACTGACAATTACTGCATTTTGTTCGAATTCATATCATGCCACAAAAAATCAGAGGTGGATATGAAACCTTCTCACCCGTTGCTGCCTCAAAGCGTAATTGATATAGGAATGATGCATTTGCGCCTGCCCTACTGACTGAGCTACCAAGAGTTAAATCGGAATCCATACTAAGGGTGGAGCTCGAGAATTGAGGAAGACTCACCTCACCAGCCGGCTATCAAACTACATACCGACTGACCGATCACATCGATCAGATCTGGAGATTCTGAAGAAAATACTGTCTTACAAATCTATCTAATCTCTAGCTTTCCCTAACTTTTCCTCAGAGACTTTGAAATCATGGCGAGTGAACTTCATGGCCTTTGTTCTTGCTTATATTCATCAAAGTTTTAGGCTCCAAAACCCAGAGACCCCAACCCAAGCGGCCTAGGTCGTGCCATAATCAACAGAAAGGTCAAGGATGCTCGAAGGCAACAAGAATCAGGACTCGTAGGTTCTCCAGTAGTGTCATTTTGACATCGATTGATTTATATTCGCCAGTATGTATCTGATTTGGACTCTACCAATCGTCTCAAATCTGTAACTCAAGAGCGCGATCTTGACGAGTTTCTTAACACTGCACAGCTTGCGGGAACAGAATTCACTGCAGGTAAGTAGTATGGACCTTTCAGCCATAAGATCGAAGCTGAAGGTATGAACAGAACGCAGGAACGTCAAAGTCATTCAACAATCAGCCAGTGCCGGGCAAAATCCGTACCTTCTGAGCGAACAGGAGGAAAGGAATACTCTCAAGAAACACTCTGAGAACAAGCAAAGACTGAGAGTACCAAGACGGCCGGCATGGACGAAAAAAATGACGACAAATGAGCTTGACAAGCAAGAGAAGGTGGCCTTTCTGGATTGGCGTAGAGGTCTGGCGCAGTATGTCATCATTCACTCCTAGCTGCTCTCCGTTCTGACGTAACACACAGACTACAGGAGGAGGAGAATTTCCTTTTGACACCTTTTGAACGCAATCTTGAAGTTTGGCGACAACTTTGGCGCGTCCTCGAGCGGTCTCAGCTGGTTGTTCAGATCGTCGACGCTCGAAACCCCCTTCGTTTCCGTTGTGAGGATCTCGAAAATTATGTGAACGATGTTGAAGGACCAGAAGGCGAATCGGGGACAGGATCAGGGATTAGGAAGAGTCTTCTTCTTATAAACAAATCAGATCTGCTCACAGCGCAACAGCGGTGCGTTCATCGTTGTCGATTTCTATCAAATGTGTTGACAGGTGTATCATACTAGGTGCCTGTGGGCGGACTACTTTGACTCGCAGGGCATACAATACGCGTTTTTCTCGGCTGCCAATGCAACAGCACTGCAGGAGGCGAGGAGAGATGCCCTCTTGTCGGCACAAAACCAAGCCACCGCTTCCGATGACGACGCTGATTCACAAGGAGCCGATTCGGGCGATGAGCAAGATGTCCCGCAACTTGGCGAGGCTTCCGACAGCGATTCGGGCGATGAAAGTTTACCAGAATCTTACGAAGATGATACCTACTTCTCGGCAGAAGATGACGAACCCGAAATTCAGGATCCCAGAGCTAGGGTGTTGTCTGTACTGGAGTTGGAAGACTGGCTATTGTCGATGGCTCCCGATCTATCTGGTCAGTCATGTACCTCCTACCTGGACAGTTCTCTGAGATCTCTTCGCGCAGCTTTTACCGATGCTTCGGGTAAACCGCCTTCAAAGCTGACAGTCGGCCTGGTTGGCTATCCGAATGTAGGCAAATCGAGCACGATTAATTCTCTCCTTGGGGAGAAGAAAGTGAGCGTATCGTCTACACCAGGCAAAACCAAACACTTTCAGACAATACACCTCTCGGATTCCATCGTTCTCTGTGATTGCCCCGGTCTTGTATTCCCTCAATTTGCTACAACAAAAGCGGACCTGGTGTGCGATGGCGTATTGCCAATAGATCAACTCCGAGAGTACACAGGGCCAGCAACGTTACTTGTTCAACGTTTTCCAAAGGAGGTTCTGGAAGCTACTTATGGTCTGTCTATCAGGGTCTCTGGCGTTGAGGAAGGTGGCGATGGGAAGGTTAGGGCAGACAATTTCTTGATCGCATACGCAAGTAAGCCCGCGTAGCTTGAATGATTTAAATAATATCATGACTAACACCTTGTAGTCGCCAGAGGATATACACGATCAGGGCAAGGCAACCCAGATGAAGCACGTTCAGCGCGGTACATATTAAAGGATTACGTCAACGGAAAGCTGCTTTATTGTCACTCGCCGCCTGGCGTATCGGAGGTTTCGTTCAATCAAGCGACGCACGAAGAAGCACTCCTTCGTGCGGCAGGAAAGAAACGGGCGCCCGTAACACGTGTTGGCAAAGGTGCAGATACTTTTGTACCGGCTAACACAGTAGAAGGACCATCTGGCACCATTCTACCAGCTCAAGGGCACGGACCGAAGTCTCGCGCTCTTGACCATGACTTCTTCGAGAATAACGGCACACTTTCCTCACGACCCTTCATACAATCTTCGCTTCGCTACGGGGAGGCGTTCTCGCGACCAAACATGTATCCACATCAAAACTCAGTTGCAAACGACGGAACGCCCTTGAGCAGGAGAAAGATTGTTGGTGCACCTGGTGACGGAAAGAAAGGTCATTTTAAGGTTAGACGGACGAAACAGCGGAGCGGAAAAGGTTACGATTGATCTTATGCTTTTCTTTGTTTTCTGCCTGCCTTCAAGTTTTCATTGAATATTGCGACACCAGTTTCATTTAAATTTATGAGTGGCCACAAATCTTCCTAGAAATGTTAGATGCAGACTTAGACACACTCTTCATGCCATACTTGAAGGAGGGACTATATAAATACCAATATCCTTGTAGTTTCACAAGCCAATGTGGCTCAATGGTAGAGCATTGCTTTCCTAAGGCAAAGGTTGTGGGTTCGATCCCCATCATTGGTTAAACGGTGAATGATTAGTTCAACGGTAAACTCTTTTTTCATTCGCTTGAAAATATGGCTTGCATAGTCCTTTACAAAAATTTATGACATATGTTGCGGGCCGAGGTTTGCAGTGACTCTATTTGTCAGGATGTAAATTTGGATATTGGTAGAACTTGAGATACGGAAGTTCGCGAAGGTAGGACAAAGCAGGAAATCAATCTATGACAAAAGGTATCTACGGTATTGGGCCACCACATACAGCCGCACTCACGCTTTATTCAGATTGCAATATTAAAGTAAGAGACGAGTAAGCCCAAATCTCCTCACATTTGCGGATTGGGTATAGCCCCGAATGTTAAAATGATTGACACAGACGGCAGCCGCGAGGTTGGTTTGTCTCGGGTGGTGGATGAGATTGGGGGCGAGGCAGACGGATGTGTAAATACATGATTTTACACTACTTTTATAGACGATGAGAACAATAAGATATCATCGGAAAACCTGAGGAAACCGAAACGAGTTAGCATGAGCCACACAAATGGTGGCTACGCGGTCGGTTGGCACTGTGAGCGTTCGTAATCGGTAACCGGAATTCCAGCACCAAACCACAGTTATGCTCTCGCCGCCGTATGTATGATTATGAGAGCTGGAATTGGCAGTGCGAAGCGAAGGGAATGGATCCTGCGCCACGATGTCACGCACGCGTGATATTACGTGACGCCGGAAATCACTGTGACTCCCAGGGTCACCCAAGAACCAACCTCGACGGCTTTTCGTTGCACTCTTGTACCCTCGGATAACCAGGGAACTACACTGAACTCACGCCTTCGAAGATGGATACCTCCTTAGAGAATGGCTCATACATGTCTCGTTCTTCAAGAGATACCACGACCCCTAGCTCATCCTTCGACCATGTCCAAGTTGCTGCCACTCCTGCAAAATCCTCAAGCATATGTGCCAAACTTGTCACTATACGTGGAGATCGCAAAGAAGGTACTTCCCGGTAGTTCCATTATCCGCGTAAGCTCTGTGCAACCTTACACCTCGTAGCCGTGGTCTTGAGCCTGGAAAAACCTGCCATCATTGGCCGCGATCCCTCCGTCTGGTAGCGTTTGTCCACTTCATATGGAACGGCTCCCACCAAACTTGAAATTAGCTCCTATGTTGTCACCGATAGCGCGGTATCGAGTGTTCATTGCAAACTATATGCGTGAATATGCGCCGGTTTCTCGGCTGTTGCTATCATTCACCGAACAGGCTTGACAGTGTTCGCTCCCCAAGCGGCGGAGTGATAGTATCCTGTCATGTGGGGGCCGGAAATTTTCTGACCTCTTCATATTTTTTACCTATTTCTCCAGGATGTATCTCGCAACGGATTGTACCTCAACGGACAGCATATTAGAAAGGCATCTATCATCATCATGGATGGCGATCTCCTGCGGCTTCCTAACTCTCTTGGTTCGTGCGCTCCTTACTATGCCCCTGTATTCCACGATGATTTTTCTTTTCAAGAATTCACATGTATACATATCTGGAAAGAACCGCACAGCAAAATGTCCATCTTTGATCCTACGCCACCCTCTAATCCTGCGCATAAAGTCAGACTCAGAAAAGCTCCATCTTTTACATCATTGTGCTGAGACCTTACACAGAGAATTGGCGACTACATAGTCACCCCGCAATGCCTAGGAAGCGGGTCGTTCGCCACCGTACACCTTGCTCTTCATCCTGCAAAACGTCGACAGGTGGCTTGCAAGAGTATAAGAACCAAGAAAGAGCATGATGTTGGCCAAGTCATGAAAGAAGTGCGAATACTGATGACGATACGACATGTACGTGGCCCGGATGCATCTTGATACTATGACTGACGTCAATTTCCAAAAGCCAAACATCAATGAGATTTACGACACAGAAGTGAACAGGAACTTCATGTTTGTATCGATAGTCCCAGCCTACTAGTCGTTGCGCTTACTCGTAATGCTATTTCCAGTCATATTTTTCTCCAGCTATGCACCGGCGGTGACTTGTTCACTTATATCACGAATCACCCTAACTCCAGACATCGCCTTTGCGAAGCCGAAGCGAAGTACATCATGTACCAGCTGCTCAGGGGCTTGGAGTACCTTCATAACAATATGATATCTCATCGAGGCAGGTCGTCACACTCTATTTTACTCTCATTAACACCTTTCCCCTCATAGATTTGAAAGTGAGCAATCCAGCATATCATTTTATGACCCTTCAAATGACCTTGCCAAGCCGGAGAACATACTGCTTCACTCTCCTGGACCATATCCTCGCATACTGATCGCAGACTTTGGGCTGGCACGCCCGAATGCGTATCAAGAGACCCTGAACGTCTGCGGAACCGTCTCATATCTGCCCCCAGAGGGCGTCAAGGCCCTGGATGTGAAACACCTAGGCTATGTTGGGTAGCGTGCCTTCTTCTTTGGCCTGACCTCGTCCTGAGAAATTGATTTAGGATGCCTGCGGACTGCTGGAGCGCAGGAGTGATCCTCTTCATAATGCTGTCGTACGTAAACGAGGAGTTGATACCTCTTTGCTAACGCGCATCGCCCCTGGTAGCGGATCACATCCCTTCGATTATGGGCCCATGCACAGCTCCGACTGGTTCAGCCATATCGAGGCATCTCGCGGCGCTGAACGCACACAACCATCCCAGCGTTATCTCAACAATGAAGCGCGACTCAAAGCCCGAATCATCGACGGAACGGTAGACTTTCAAGATATATGGGACCATATGCAGGACGGTCAGCAATGCGTGGTCGGACGACCTCCAAACCTTGCTTCCGGCTGATGCTGTTTTTCATCCCACTAGCTCGTGCGCTCGTCGAAGAGCTTCTTGTCTACAATTATCAGCACCGGGCGACCGTTCGTTCTGCACTTCAAAGCCCCTGGATCGTCAGCGAATTGGAGGAACTTGAAACATCCTATGATCGTCGGATCATGTCCAGTCTGGAGAATGCTTAATTTTGCTGATGTATGCCTCGATTCACTCCTGCTCTCGAGTCTCAGTATCCTGTCGCTTTATTTGTAATACAATTTGTTATTGAAGAATTCAAGCCTTCAAGAAATTTGCATGGACTTAAGCAAAGATCATTAGAATCTGGGAAAACGGGCACTGAGGACCACTTACAGTGGATGTGATCTGATGCAAACGTAGAAATCTGCAGGGGCGGTGAAAACTTTGGGCGTGCATTTGCGAATGTAAGTGACTTACGAAAAAGTAACTGTGATCATATCCCTCGTGGCTTCTCACCCGGACCTGGACTTCGTCATAACCAGACTCGCGCGCCGCTTTCAAAAAGTTCTCCGGAAGAAGCTGTCCTTTAAGGTAGAAATCGTCGCTCTTGCCCTGCGGAAATATTTTAGCCCCAGCTCGGGGTGACCAGAAAACGAACTTACATAGTCGATCAAGATGTGCACTGGGTCCTTGGCCTTTGCGATAAGCTCAGTAGCGTCGTACTGTCTCTTTGCCTCCTCAGTTCCGCCCTGGAGATACCCCGTAAACGCCTTCTCGCCCCAGGGGCACTTGGTGGGATTCGCGATCGGGGCGAACGCAGAGGCTGATCGGTACTGCTTGGTTGTCGAGGCGAGGTACAGGGTCAGGGCGCCGTGGCCACCCATGCTGTGTCCAAAGATGGACTGGCGTTTGAAGTCCTGTGGGTACACAAATCAGCGCGTGTGGATGGCGCGATTAGGCGCGAAACTTACGATTGGGATGCCGGCGGCCTCGAGGACCTGGGGGAGCTCGAGGGTGATGTGGGTGCGCATGTTGTAGTGCGCGGCGTACTTGGGGTTCGTCGCGTTGAGGTAGAAGCCTGCGCCGACGCCAAAGTCCCAGCTGTCGGTCTCGCCTTCGACGCCGGCGCCGCGGGGGGAGGTGTCCGGGAAGAGGAGCGCGATGCCCTGCGCGGATGCGACGCCGAGGAAGGCGCCTTTCTGGGCGCTGGGGTGGGGTGTGTTAGGGGTGCTGGAGCTGTGAAACATGGGGTGTGTGGGAGGACGAACCCGTTGTCTTCTGTGCAGGTCAGGCCTGCGAGGTAGACCAACACGGGCACCCTGCCTTGTGCAGCGTTGGGTGGGAGAAACAAGTTGAATTGTGCATCTAGGCCCCCAAGTGCGGCCGACTGTCAATAATGCGTGAAACGAGATAAGGAACAGAGCGTGAAAGTGGCAGTGAGAAATTGTGCGACACAGGGACTGTGGCACGGCTGAGTCATACCTTGAACTTGTACTTTGTTAATTCGCCTTCAAAGGCCTTGTTTGAGGATATCTTGTGCAGGGCAGCTTGGGCCATGTCGGATGTGGTTGTTGGTGGGGTGGAAAGATGTAAACTAGCCGGTGGGGTAGATGGGTTCTCGGATGTGTAAACTTGATCATCATCACGTGGATTTACTTCTCTACACGATTGGCAGTAACTTTTGACCATGTTAACCCCTGAGAATCCTTGCAATACATACGAACGTAACAATAAAAGGGTACTGCAACGCGGATCCCTAGCTGCCTCAGCCCCTAATTGTTATCTCCATCGTAGATAAAGATCATTTCATCTTTGATATCTTGATCTTATCTTGATCTTATCACTACTCTTGCCAGTGACGTTGATGGACACACTGGAGGAAGTGAACCATGTTACAGTCATAACTCCCCTACTCATCCTCCTCCTCATATCACTGCTCATAAGGAGACAGTACCGCCAACCAGACGTGAGCAGCTTTGAACTCTACAGTCTACACAACCTCACAGCTTCACTCAGTACAGTCATATACCCACTGTCGGGCCCTCCAGGTTCCCCTTCTACTTCATCGGGGCCTTCCAATTCCTCTTCAACGCACGGGGGCAGCTCGAAAAGGGCTACAAGAGGGTATGTCCTTTGACCACCACCGCCTGGCACGCCTCAAACTCTCTATCATAGCATGGCCACGCTCCATTCAAAGTCGCCGACTTCAGGCGGTGGCACGTCGTCGTCAGCGGACCACGGCTCCTCGAAGAGCT